CATGGAACTGGTTTTTTCATGTTCACTCAAACATTGCAGCTAGTTAGCATAATGGTCAAAAATCGAAATAGCACTTTTTGTTTCTGAAAGATGTGAAAAATCAGCAAATCCATGCTTACCGAGTAGTCACCCCCGGAGGGAGTGAAAGCGAGTCCGCTATCCATCAGCTGAATGACGAACAGGGCGGCTAAGCGCGCGGCGAAGATCAACGAGTTGCATTGGGCTTGAGCGTCGGCATTCGTCACTGGGATCAGAAATGCCATGGGCAGAGCGACGAGCAGGACGGAAAGAAATTCAGAGGCAAACAACAGGTCGGATACACAGACGGCTGACGTCGACTGACCGAGGTTAAACCCGCGGAGGATGCAGAGGTAAAAAGAAGCAAGAACGACGCTGGCGTGACTCAAGTCTAGTCGATGTTGAGCAGTTAATGGAGGATGCGATGAGATGGAATCGTCGCCAGAGTGATCAGCCGCACAATTGGACTTGGCTCTTAAAAGCAGACAGCTAAAATGAACGTTGCGATCTTTGCGTCATGTGACAACCAGTTGCTCTCGGCTTGTCGTCGGACAGTTTGCCAGGCAGATCAATAGCGCTAGTTGTGGATAATAAATGAGCGATACGAAACCAAACTTGCGAGGCTGACTACTTGTCTGCCGTTGCCCTTGTCCTTCGTTAACTGTTGTATCCCATTATAAATTCATACCGTATTTTCTATATTTGGGAGTTTCACATAGCCATAATCACAGGATCAATTATTGTAGAGTTGTGGGCGTTAAATGATGTTGCCGTCCTTACGGCTGTCATCAACTGTGGTTTAAAGGGTCCAACGACGTCCAGGATCGCTGCTTCACGTCTGTCGATGGCGCGCGATGTCTGCCACCAAATTCAGCCAGTGCTTATTTCGACCTTTTCTACCCGTGGCATGTAGGCACAGTTGCTGAAATTGCCTGCTTCGAACCTATCCGAGGTGCTGGGTTCGATTCTGCTCGACGGCAGTCTTTGTTCTTATTCAAGAATACCCTCGAGCAAGGAATTTATTACACCCTCATTCAAACCCAGGTTGCTCAGTCAGTATGGCCTCGAACCCCGGTCGTTGTCACTCGCCCATCTTTCTTTCAAGGTTGATAAATCAATGCTACTATGTGGGAAGGAAACAGAACACTACATGCTACGCTTGCCATACGGCAGTAGACTCTGCCTTAGAGAAGCAAAGAATGAACTCCTGGCTGATGACACAGAAACGAAGATTGGCAGCGCATCAACAGCTTCATGAAAAGAAGGACGCCTGAATGGCGCAATCATGAAAGTGAAGGAAATTGATATTCCAACGTTGACAAATTTTTCTTTTCTTTCGTGCCCGTACACAGACGCCCCAGACAGGACCTCAACGTCACCTCTGACAATTTCCCACCAGGTCTTAACTTGTCCGTTTATCCCTTCCAGGGATCAGTCTGTACTCAGTGTAATGGCCAACCAAGCCGCCTTTCGTTCAGGACAACAGAGAGCTGGAAAATACTGCAATGGAGACGGATTTGTAAAGTGAAACTGATGAATTCAAATTCAGAATCATAAGAGGCCCAGCTGGGACTAATGTTAACAGCTTTCTGTTACTAGCTGACGTCCAGATATTGTTGTTCAAGTCCCTGTTTAAACAATGTTGGTTTAGACTAACGGAACTTTGCTGAACTTTAGAAATCTGACGTTTTTTTGGCACAGACTACGCTGGTGTACTGCCTATCTCCCTTATGATTTTTGACGACATATACCTGCTTAACAGCACAGT